CAAAATCTTTACTGTACAAAATCTACATTTCAAGTATACACATGTGTATATGTGTGCGTTTAAAACCCATGGCATCTTTGCTAACTAACATATTTGTGTAGAGTGCATACTCACTTAGTCTTACAGATTTTAATGCAGCTGCCAAGAACTGCACTTATGCACCACTTATGCACTTGTTTGCAAGTCTCACTAAAAAATTTCACAGGACTAAATTACCTTCAAGCCTGATGCTTCTGTGGCTGGTAACAGTGGACTTAGATTAGGTAGCTCTGTGGTGTAAATGTACAGGAGATGCATTAGAAAGGTAGATGGAACATCAACACAGAGAATGAGTATACTTTACTCCATTATGTATTCAGGTGCACAGTGATACAGATGTAGAAAGAAGAAATTTTTAAATACCTTTTTAAAGGCATTTGAGAAAGGTGAGGCAAGGACACTAGGAATAAGACTCTTTAACCCTGCCACTGCATAGAAAGATGTAGTTGAGGCTTCAGTAAGATGCTATTCAACCTCACAGAACTCTTGAAGCCTCACCATGAGTTACATTACAAAGCTTTGTTGCAAAACTTACTCGTCTCTCCAGAATGTTGCACCCTTTAAAATGGCCTCCATCTATTGTGATCAGTTGTGAGTAATCCAGAGAAGGAATCATATCTGTTCTTTACATGTTCTCCTTCTTCCCCCACACTGTCATTCCTTTCATGGCAGCTTATTGACTCTCATCTCTTGGAAGCTCTGCAGAATAGCCAGAAAGATTGATTTTTCCATTACTGCTGTAGGCTATTTCTATTAACATGTGAATAATAATTACTTTTTAGAAATAATAAAATCACCCAAACAATATTAAACTAATATCCTTGGTCTGGGAGAAACCCAGAGAAGTCAGATCTTTTAACAGCCATACAAACTTATGCATGGGTATACTGACATCATGCTTTAATATTAGGCAAACATCCTTTCTTTTTACATTATGATGCTCTTTACAGGAAGAGCATCTCAAAGAGAGCTGCAGGATATTTCTCAATGTCAATTTTAAAATTTTAGGATTTAGTCAGCAGTATAAACTATTTTAAATTATTCTACTGAAGTCAAGGCCACTTCCTGCATAGGTCCTCAAGGACCACTGTAATTTTGATACAAATACAAGAAGCAATATGTTAGGAACTCAGTGAAAGATATGTACTCCTGCTAACTGCAGGCCATCGACACATTGACATGGTAAAATATAACAGCATGTATGTTTCAAGGAGATATATGTAGGAAACCATGTTTTGTTACGTACTTAAGGTGTTAACCTGCAGGTTGTCATCTAAATACATGATTGCTTATCAGCTAATACACAGGAGACTGTGTCTTCTGATTTTAGTATTCCTTTCACTATTCACTGGTTTCTTTGTGGCTTTCTTGGGGAAGCTCCTGAGGAAAATCTCAGTCAGGGAAAATTTCTGTTTCTTTTCCTAGAAAATAGTGTAGTATGTAAAGTCCTATTGCGTAAACTTTTTTATCAAAATCTTGAGAAGGCAGAATTACAGTGCATGACTTGTGGAATGCCTAGCTAAACTCTTTCAGAAGCGTTTTCTGGCAAAATTCTAACATTGGTACACCCTTGGATTTTTATACCTACACTTTAACAGGTTAGAACAATGATTGCAATATTCAGCTGCTACATTGAAGATCTTTTTATCATCCCCACCTCCCACCCCATCCCTTTAAAATTGAGCAGTTCCAAATGTCCAATTACAGTTACACCAACCCACTCAGCTACCTACAGGAACACCAGCTACTGTACCTTAAAATCCTGCTGCTGAGGAATGGAGGTCTGCATCCAAACTTTGGGTTCTTATGTTAATCTATGCCACATTCACCTTCAGCTGCCCTTCTGGCCTTCCTGAGCCTGTTGCACAAGCTGTCAGTGACTTGTATTCCCAAGTTAAGTAGTATTGAAAAACAGGTGAAAATACTGTTCATAATGGTGGTGCATATGTTTGTAAGGCTCAGTGAGTTTGCTAGTTGCATTGTGAAGGTCATAAAGCACAATAATTTCTTTCATGTTAATGAATGTTAGCGTTCTGATGCCATGTATACGATCACACACTGTTTTTGGCATCTTGAATCTTCCTATCACTGAGTTCCATTGGCTTCATATTGGGTATTGTAGAGATCTCAGGTAGTTACAGTAAGTCTGAATTAACTAAGCAAAGTGAAAAAATAATCTCTGAAATAAAGAAAAAATTCTATTTGAGAGTTTCAGTAGTCTCTACTACTACAGAATGGCTCCAAATTTATGTCACATCTGCCCTGGCAACAATTAATGCCATTGTGTCTAGTTGTTGTTTAGGGAATGTGGGCATCAGGCTAACAAAATAATTTTCCCAAGATCATGCCAGAACATGAGTTACAATTAGTATTTCTGGTCCTAGATGAGCATCTTCCAGCTTGAGGGGTAATCCTTATCATTCAGAAGTATGCATGGGATTCTCTGTAGTGGAATGGGAAACTACTGAAACCAAATTACGTCCTGGCATCAATGTACACCCTTGGCAGAAAAAGCAGCCAAGTAAGGCCAGGCTGAATATTTTGGCCATGCTAATTATGTTTTGATTTTTTCATACCAATTGGTATGAATTTATAAAAATGCATAGCTCTTTTTGAAGACTTTCTAATTTATTTATTTATTGGAGGAAATAGCTAATATTTTCATGTTTCTAAAAAATGTCGGTGAATATTTTCAGCAATATGTATAAAAGACAGAAATCATACCAATTAATTAGTTCAACACTTTACATCATCAATACTCTCTTTAATTCAGAAAAGAGGAAAAGAAACATGTGACCTCTAAACTTCCTCCCCCAGCCCCCCCCCAAATTTTATAATCTATAGTGGCTAAATGGGTAATTTTTGAATGGGTGTAATGAAACTTACTCTTAAGCTTCAACACTGTATTTCAGGTCCAAGCTGAATCAAATTTTTACAGGCAACCTGTTGACCTCTAGGCCAAAAGTGGATAGGGTTGTAATGGAAATGCTGATGAGCCTTAATAAAGCAACTCTTCCAAATGTCAGAGTTTGATCTAGTACATGTACTGCACTATATTACACCTTTTACATGTACTGCAAATGACACATGAAGAAATCAAAATACCATCAAATACAAACAATGTATGTCATGTTGGTGCAGAGATCTGAAAAAAAGTGGTGAATGTGAGAAAATTTTCTATGGTAAAATAAAAATATCATTTTGAAAGACCTCCTTCTTGCAGTACAATTAATTACTGAGTTCATTAATTAATGAACATATTAGCAAAAGAACACCATTACTGACCAGTGTAGTCTTGATATATTACCAGGTCAATACACTATTGAACATGAAACAGGACCTTCCAGGAGATTTTTTTCCTCATAACCCACAAACACATATATTATTCCTGCACGGTCAGCACTTCTTTGGTACCCTTATATTTCGTATTACTAATTCTTTTAATCACGCATCCATAGAGCAATGTTTTATAACCTGGCTAATGAGTAATTGGACAGGTGACATTGGGACTGAGGCCCTGAAGTGTCAGGCATAATAGAGCAGGATTTTTTTCCCTCACTAGGTTTTTGAGAGTAAAAGGTTGTAAAGGAGCAGACAGGATAAGAGGAATAAAGGACTCTTTTAACAGAAATTTGTCAGAGAAATACAGATATTAAATGTATCCATGAACTATAAATGTCTTTACATTTCTTCTGATGCAGATAAATAAGTGAAGGGATCAAACATTTAAAATAGTTCTGAGGCTTTTTCATTTTCAGCAGCCAAGGAGCTTAGCCAGGCCAAGCTAATGCTGAATGTAATTTATTTAAAGTCACTACAGTTAAGATAATATTTTTATGGAAAATATGTGTATTAATTCTGCGTAAAAGGCAAGAGTCTTCATAATTCTTTGGTTTCTCTGTGGCAATGTGTACCAAGCACCCTTCCCCCACCTTAGCCCCCAAGTAATCATTGATTGCATCTAATTCTATAGAGATACCTTTTCCTGGCAGCTCTGATAGTTACAGTAGATTGTTAATCTGTGAATGATCAGAATAGGCCTTTCTGTCTCAGAAATCTCCATGCAAATTACATCTAAATGCATGCCATAAATTTATCAGTAGCAGTTTGAAGTGCACAGGTCATCTTCTACACTATTTAAAAACATATGTCTGTTACATTAGAAAGAGTCTCATTCAATTTATATTCACTTTTCTGTGGCTGTAGCTAGCCCTTGTCAAAGTAAACCTGTGTAATTTTTGAAATAATTCTAAAAAGGAAGATGAGAAAGTCTGTTATTAAGGAAAGTGTATTATTAAGCAAATTTGAGATCTCTGCATGGGACTGGAGTTTCACTATTCCTACTTTAAAACAGAGAAATGCATGTTTAACAAATGAGGAGTTTTAAGAGGTAAAAGGCTATTCCTAAATATTGGCAAAAGTGAGAGATGTAAAGGCAAGTTACAGGATGTTTTTTGAACCAGTCCTATTCTTGTACCTTGATCAGTTTATTGTTTTGGGAACACATAAAATCCATGACTTCTTTTTTCAGAGTTATGTGTTAGGTGAGCACAAAAAGGCAATTCAAAAATAACTTTTGGATTCCATGAAGGAAGGGGAGATATATTTGTAGTTTTCCTTTCCATATGTTTTTGCTTCCTAATTTTTGTCTGGATTTGAAACTGGTATGCTGCTATGGTAAGATGACCCTAGTTACTTTCTTTCCTTATGAAGTCAATGCAAAACCAGGATATTTATGGAACTCCTACACCATCCTCATGCTACCAACTTTTTTTTTTTTTCCTAAAGAAAATAGAGGAAATTTTTTGAAAGAAAATTAATTTCTACTTAAAGTAGGAGCTAGGCTTTGAATGTTAGAAGGCTGGGGTTTTCTGTGTAGCTCATATCATTCTAACTATCACAACAAATTTGTACATGCAGGAAGAAATACATTAACATGTGTGTTCTGTTTCTTTTTCCAGGCCATCCGCTGTACACTGGTAAATTGCACATGTGAATGTTTTCAGCCAGGGAAGATTAACCTGAGAACCTGCGATCAGTGTAAACATGGCTGGGTGGCACATGGTAAGAAATATCTGTTCTGGGCTTGTTTTTTCAATTCTTTCCATCCTTACCAGTATCTTTAAATAATAATAACTGGGTTGATACATACAATAGTGGTACCTATTTGTCTACATATGCATGTGTGCACAATCTATGTTTGTCCTTATGTATGCATGCACATGCTTTTTTAGAGCAATTTTTAGGATGTAAAAGTAAGAGTCTGTTATTCTGGCGACAGCTTCAAGTGCCACTTTCAAAAGCTTGTGTACAATTCAAAAGAATATTCTAGCCTCCAGAAAATAATGTATTTCCTGCAGGGCTTAACAGAAAGGCAAAAGGTTTACAGTACGGTTGCACAGCAGAGTTTGTATTGCAAAGAAGCATCAGCCAAGGAGTCATGGGGCCAAATGGAAATTTAAATTTACCAGTGTCAAACATTCAGATCTCACATGTTCAGAGTGTATTCTATATCACAAAGAAAGTCTGCATATGTGATTTGTGAGCTAAACCTCTCTTCCCATGTTTAAGTATTGTAATAAAGATAGGAAGGATTAGAACTCCCAGATCAGGCATGAAAGGCACAATAGGCATAAAAATTCACAGAAGGACCTTCAATTTTATTTATCCTTTTCTACTTAATGTTCTTGGAAGGGTTTTTTTCTTGATAGTTATTATTAAATTAGCGTGAGAGAGCAGGAGAGAGCTATATACACCATTAGAAAGCAAATAAGAAGGATACCTAAAATGATTTAATAAAAGAAAAATAGGGAGGCTTTGGGGGTGGGAGAAAGAAAGATTACTATATGTGTGGTAGAAATTGCTGTTGAAGTTTTCTTCTCATGATCTAGAATATTGGTACCTAAGCAAGCACAGCTCTCATCCCCCATTTCTGCCAGACATTTGGGGGGTTATATTCTGTGAATTTGATTTTATTTTGATGAGAACTTTGGTGAAAGGTTAGTACTTTCCTCCTAAGATATATTTGATCTCTATTTATTTAGCTATGTCTGTTTTGTGCTTGAGTATGCTGACATATGGTAAGTATGAACGCTGAAAAAATGCAACAGCATAGATTGACAGAGAAGTTTTTATTCACATGTATGGAAAGAAAAACAGGTATACAGGTACCATGGAGTCCCGTGTCACTGCCGAACATTGCTTCCAGACTGCCTAGAAATGCCCTAGCACCACTCATCTGGTAGCTGGTTACAAGTTTATTGTATACGTGATTATCTAGGGACATAGTATATCTTTGTTACTCTTATTTCCCAGAAAATGATATTCAGTCACTGTATAACCAGATTCACCTTTCTTAGAAGAATCACTAAACCTCACAAAATTTGTATGGCTCAGGCACTCTTCAGGTTTTGTGTAGAACCAGCATCTGAGGTTTTGATGATTGGAAAATAGGGAAGCACTGTCTAGGTATTTTCCAGGGTGTCCTCCTGATAAGCAATAGAAACTGAGAGTCTAGCACTTAGATCCTGGCTCATGGCCGTCCTGAATTTTCTTTTTAAGGAGTACATTTTGGAAGAGTTTGGAAGAGAATAATCAGATTTTCCTCCCTGTGACGTGATTCTTCTCTGCGAAGTGATTGAATTCAAAATCAGAATATTATGACAGTGATCTGAGATTACCACTGTGCATATAATGGAAATGTCCCTGTTTTACAAATCCAGAAAGTTGAAAGCGGAACCTGGTGATTTGGAATACAGCACCTGCTCCATACCTAAATGCTTAAAATTCCAAAGAGAAAAACTTTAAACAGCTATGCATTATAAGGAAGTGTTATTTTGCTATTGTGCCAAGTGAATAATGCTCTTCTTTTTATTTCTTTTTATTTTTCTTTTTTTTCCTTTTTTTTTTTTTTTTTAGCACACTTTGTGTACAATCATCTGGAGTACTTACATTTTATGGCAGAGTGAGACAAGTCAGATATATGTTTCACATCCATCAAGCATGGTCTTGTAAATTATTTTCTGGAGAGAATTATGTAACTACTTCAATTCTTGATCTTAGCTGTTTTTGAGGATTATGAGGGCAGCATTCAGGAGACAGGTCAATTCACTGCACTCTAGCACCTGGATTTCAAAATGACTAAAATCAAGTTGCAGCTCGGAAGTCCTTTACTTTAAAAATGTTAGCACAGTACTTTTAGAAGTTGTTTCTTGACTGCAAAGAATATTTCCTGCTGCTTTAATTAAAGGGTTTCCATATAATTTTTATTAATGAATTCCAGCTCAGCTCCTTGACACATGATGTAGTGCTTTACTGAATGTAATTATCAAAGAATAGGTGTTTCCAAGAGGAAGTACTGTGCTTGTTCAGTTCTGATAACCTAGAATCATAATTAATTGTATAGCTCAAAAAAATAGCTTAGAACTGCATTCTACTCATGCTGTACTTGACTAATCTGTGTGGAGTTAATTCATTTTAATAGCTGCCATTTAAAACTTTGGAATTCTTAGAGGGAAGAGGAAAGGGCATACAACCACCACTGTACTATTGCACTTAGCAGCTGCTGGCCTGTTTTTTCTCTCCTGCTTCCATTGTCTTTCTCACATTTTCCCTCACTCAAATAAGCTGCACACATCTTGAAAGAAAAGGTTTCCTACAAGTTCAGATACACCTGTCTGGAGTTGCCAAACCTAGAATTGCAATTAAATGAACAATATTACATTGGAAAGTACTTTTGTGGCCGTCAAATGTTGCAGTTGTTGAAAGTTCAGCTTACCAAGTTTTGACTCCTGTACTACAGTAGCAATCCTACCATCAGTGTTTTTAACACCAAAGCCAAAATTGCACAGAGCTTTACAGCATTATCAAATACTGCTGTGCATCGTGGAGAGTGGGTTAGTCCTAGGATGAATCTCTGAGTATTTTAAGGGATTTGGGTGACTAGACTGTTTTCATTTGCTTTCAGCTAAAGTGAAAACAGTGTTTTCACACAGTGTTTCACACATAAAGTGTTTTCAGCTGTCTTTCATATAGTCAGGTTGGGTGGGGATTTATTTTCCAACCCAAAAATTAACTGTTTTAAATTAGATAAGCCATTTCTTAAACTTTAAGAAGTCAAACAGATAAGTGTGTGACTTCTTTTTTTTTTTTAATGGTAAAGATAGTTTGTATAGTCCATAGGGAAAATAAAATCTCATTAAAATCTTAATAGTCATTTTTTAATGCAGGCAATTGGTATTTTGTGGCTTTTAAATAATATGGTACTTACGTGACTATAAAAAATAATACTCAAATTCTTCATTTGTTCTCCTGCTATTTTTTTGTATTAAAAGAAGAATACTATCCTGTGAAGATAATTATGGCATTTTACCCCTTTAGCACAAAACCTGAAACTTTATTGGAAATAATGAAAAAGCCCCACTCTATTTGCCATGTACTTCCTCTAGCTGAAGTATCTTAGCCTATGAGGAAAGAAATTAAGCAATTCAGCAGTAAAAAGACATTAATTTCATTGACTTTGCATTTTGTCTTTTGTATTTGTCATTGATGTCAGAATAACAATTACCATACTTCTAGCAGGAACACACTTATTATATCTTGTCCAGCAGATCAAAAGACCCAATAGAGTATTAATCAAGTACACTCTTACCTACTCTCATAACTGTTTTGCTCCAAAAAAATATGTTTAGGTGGCATAAGTTATAGTGGACTAAAGCTGTTATTTCTGATATTCATTCTACTTATTTTAGTTTCAATACCCCCACAAAAAACCCAAACAAAAAAAGCAAAGCAAAACAACCCCCCAGAGTATAATAATATTGCTAAGTTTGTGTGAAATCATTGTCTTCTTGTTTCAGATACAATCAGAAAATTAGAAATGACAAGTTTTTTTCTTACCCTGAAATGGGTCACTGGTAAATCTCAGAGATCAACAGCATGTTTCTAGTATACTGTGCATACTTGGACCAACTGAATTTTACACTGATCAATCTACTCTAGGAAACTAAGCATCCTCTAAATATTTTTGCTCTCCACCTTCTTTCTTTATTTCTTTCTTTTTTTTTTTTTCCCCTCATAGAAAAATGTAGTCCTTAGTCTTCTAATGGTCTTGGATGTCTTTTCATTTGCATCATGCCAATCAGCTCAGTTCAGGGCTCAGCTATTAATTCAAGTGAAGTTTAACACCCTTCTAAGGTATGGTGAGGCCACATACAGTCCCAAATAAGATTTGGTCAGATGTTCTCTCCAGTAACTTTGAGATTAAGTTCTGTTTGGTTGTAATAAAAAAAAAAAAAAAAGATGAAATAACATTAACTAGTAGATTTTGGCACATAGGGCCCATCCATTATTTTTCTGATTAAAGCTGCCATACAGTGAAGAGTAGTAGTCAGAGACTTGCCATGTGAGTTACAATTTCACCTTGTAAAGGAATTTTTCTGGTGCTATGCTAGTATTTATATAAAGCAGGTGCTAGCTTGCTGTTAATGAGACTAAGAATGGAAACAACCTCCACTAGAAAATGGAGAATGTCGTAAAGTCAGATGCATTACATGACTGTGACTACTTCATTTAGAATGGTTGAGTTTTCTGAATTTCTGCATGTTAGATCATGAAATTGTCAGTTAAAAGGAACCTGAAATGAAAACAGAAGGAAGGATAGGTGGAAATAAATAAAGAAAAGAAACAGAAGAATGCTGTGGAAATTTTAGAAATCACATCTCTCCCTCACCCTGAAGTTTTGACTTGATTTGGGACTTGATCTAGGAAGAAGGTTTAGAATTTAAATGTGAGTTGCACAGGAATGAGATGGGAATGAGTGCTATGTTGAAATTAAATTAATCTGAATTCCTAAATTTGTATCAGTCCAAAGATATTAAGTGAAAGAAAGGTTTGCAAAGTCAAAGATCATCTCTAACAAAGTAAAACAAAATGAAAACATGTCACTCTCTAAAAGCTGGCAGAACTGCCGTGTTGTTCTTTACTTAAAAATGGAGATTTTTAAGCAAAGAGTAAAATTTTAAAAAGCGGGGTGGGGGGAAGGAAATAAGAGAGAAATGTAATTA